CGTACACCTGGTCTGCCAAGCGATACTGGCCTATAACTCTACGTCGAACCCAAACATGGGGGATTACAAGGGACGGACAGGGCTGTCACCACCTGCCGCCTACCCCTCAACCATGGGGCATGAGGCAAACGAAGGTAGCCTTTAGCCTAGAGACCACGTCTATGCTATTGACTACTACTCTAGCGTCGCGCAGGGTTATCTGTCTCTATTAGGGCCCTCTACTAGAGTATCCGCTACAAGAACGGACAACGAACCCGCAAGCAAATAAGAGTAAAGCTTAACTAACTGAAAGACTTTGTACGAAAAGAATCACGAACACTTACTTAGCAGGAATCTCCGTTGAGGTACAAGCACGCGTTCGTCAAGGTACAAGCCCAGGGAGACTACAGACAAGTCCGGCACTTCCCCGATCTTTCCCTCACATCTCTCCCTATCAACTCTAGATAGCTAGCTTGGAGTGGTGCTCTTATTCCTCTAGTGGTGTAGCTCTTGCTCCTTGGAATGTTGTTGTATAGAGAGGGAGGTCTCCCCCTTCTTATATACTACCCTAAGGGCGGTTTGCAAGGCATGTTCGGGGAGGATCCGCATGCAACCGTCCTTAGGGGCATTGAATGCACTGCCTGACCGAAGGTAGGGCCGGGAAGCGGTGCTGGGGGTGCGCCCGCTCCCATGGTGCGGCAATACCAGGGCTAGTCCCTCTTGCCACTGCCTTCACGTGGCAGGCCTCTGGTTGGGCCTAGAGTGCAGCCACATTAGTGGTTAGCCCAATTTTGATGGGGAGGTGGGCCTTCTCCTCATTCCTTTGCGCAAATCTGCTTTGCGCTTTTGCCTGATTGCGCCTTTTGGTTTTATGGGCCCTGATTTGCCTGGTAGTGGGCCTTTTCCTGTTGGGCATGTGTAGGATGGCATTTATGCTTTGTTCCTTTGCACTTGTTTAGCCTTTTATGTGTATTTCCACACATGTCCTCCTGCAAATGGTCAAACACCAAAACTCATGGAATTCGTTAGTTATAAGCCCTGATTCTAAGTTTGGTGTTCTTTTGAGTGGATTTTATGTGAGAATTGCCGATTAGAAATATGAGTTAAGGACCGCCACTAGACACCAACCAAAGTAGATCCCGAACAAGCCCAGAAAGGGGTCAGGCGACCCAGGGGGTTGGTTGACCCCATGTTGAGCCCAACAAGGCCCAGTCTTCGTGAGGAAACAGTTACCGCCTTGCCAATGTCGGTTGCCGAGGGATGGGCCCAAATTCAATGCGCTGGATGGCGGTTTCATCACTAATGGAGGGAATAAAGGGGATATTCCATGGGATCACCCCCTCCTCTCCACCTATAAAAGGAGGCCATCCCCTCCTCATTCCACACAACACACAAGATCACAAGAGCAAGAGCAAGAGCACCACTTCAAGGCCTTGGCCCTAGCTAGCTAGAGCTTAGTGATAGGGAGAGATGTTAGGGAGAGTTTGGGAAGTGCCAGAGTTGTCGGTAACCTCCCCAAGCTTGTACCTTGATGAATGCCTTCTTCGCTAAGAAAGTGTTCGTGATTCATATGGTGGTCAGTCTCTTGGTTAATTAAGCTTTATTCTTATTCGCTTGTGGGTTCATCGTCCATTCTTGTAGCGGATGCTCTAGTAGAGGACTCCTAATGAAGATAGAAGTTCCTGTACGACGCTAGGGGTAGGCTAGAGGTTACCTTCATTTGCCTCATTCCCCATGGTTGAGGGGTAGGCGGCAAGTGGTGACAGTCCTGTCCGTCCCTTGTAATCCCCCACATTTGGCTTCAGCGTAGAGCTATAGGCCAGCATCACTTGGCAGACCAGGTGCGATCCGATGCCCAAAGTAAGCAAGTAAAAGTATGAGTTTATCTTTTCCATAGACCCTAAAGCCATAGGAATCCTTCTCTACCCTTGCCAACATACCCTTGTGTTGTCCTTGGACAAACTAGCTCAAAGAGTACACACGTTCCCTGTGGATTTGATACCCTTAAATACTCTCGGGGTGAAAGCTACAGCGGTATCCGTACACTTGCAGATTTATTCGTGACGTAAGAAATACCAACAGTGCGCGTGAGTGTACCCAATGGGTATAGCCCCTAAGCCCCTAGGTGATTTGTAGGATCGGCCGGGTGGTCCGGCGGTCGGCTTCCTCTTTCCCAGAGACTTAACATACCCCTATGTTAGACTCTCCTCAGTCATCATTGTCAAGACGGTTAACTAATTTTTCAAAAAGCTCCGCATCCTTGGGTCCAACAATGCCGAGTCACCCCAACCGCTGGCCATGTCTTGGACAAAATCATCCATCGTGATGAAATCAACATTCTCGCCAGGAACGCCGTGCCCACTAGCTGATGATGATGAGTGTCCTCCTCCAATGTTCTGCATTCACCACCGTCGACGACGACGAGTTTCCTCCAGATGCACCACCACTCACATCTGCTTCGCCGTGAAACCTCCAGACCGTGTATTCCTTGACGAAACCTCACCTGATCAAGTGAGATTGCACCTCACTGCCTTCTAGGACAAGCTTGTTCTTGCAATGAGAACATGGACATATGATGCCCCATCGCTTCACACTCAGAGTATGCTTCCGAGCCGTGTCAACAAAATTTTTCACATGATCTATGAAGGGTGGTAATAGCCTCAATATCTGGTAGATCCATTATGACTTTTCCATGCCAGCTAACCTTGCACACAAAGCGAACAAGACATAAGTATAGCAGTATTAGAAAGAAATTCAAGAAAATGAAGAACTAGATCTATTTTCTCTCTCCTCCACCATAGATCTAGTTCCAGATCTAGATCACCCAAAACTTGAAAAAGAGAGCAGAATAAGGTTGTGGGAGCACATAGCAACCTCCTACAGTGTCCTCCTTCAATGATTCCAAGAGCAAAACTCCTTCCCCTAAAAAATAGTGAATTTTCATAGTTTTATTGCTCAAACCCCGTCACATAGAGAGGTTAAGCTCGTGGACGAAGAAGATGGCGGTGGTTGGAGGCTGCATTTATAGGCAGCGATTAATGGAGGCAGGCATCCTAAGGGCAGCCGCCTCTGTTAATGGATTAACGGAGGTGGACACCTTAAGACAACCGCCTCCGTTAACCCTTAATGCAGGCGGGTGCTCGGTCGCAGGCCCTGCCACCTATTTACGGAGGTGGCACCCAAGTCTGCCCGCCTGCGTTCATAAAAGGGAAATGTCTCGCGAAATCATTTGTGTATGTAGCAGTATTGATCACGTGGGTTTGTTGAATGTGGGGCGCTGCATCATATCATTGACGTGTCCTCACCGCGCTTCCATGTGATGGATGAATCACCATCAAATTATTGAGCCAATAATGCATGCAGCAATTCAGGGACTCGGCGATTGTCCCAACACTTGGTACGAGTACCATATACCATGTGGTTTCGATAGTTAGGGCAGTCCCAATGGTGTATTGATGATGGTTTCTATCCTCATTAAATGACTTGCCACGTAGGTAAAATGTTGACATGGCAACGTAATTAATGAAGAAAAAGAGCAAAAATCCTAGAAATGGTTTCCTCATGAAGAAATCAGGTCTTCTCTTGACCCAATGCACCAAGAAACCATGAAATCGCCATTGGGGAGAAACTACTAGTTTCCAGGGGGCTCGTGCCACACTCCCATTGGAGGAAGAAGATAGACTTGGGAGAGAGAAAGAAAATAATTATTACACAAAGACACCTCCACTATGGAAGATAGTTTCTATAGATGATTTCTTATGCTATGAAAGCCACATCAGTTTCTTTCATTGGGACTGTCGCCATCAACGAGAAACCACACGTAGAAACTATAGTACACAACCTTTGATTATTTATTTCTTAATTCATGTGAGCCGCCCCGTTATTAATTCTTCACTTACTTCATTCCGGCCTTGTCCCTTTCTCCATTCCGTGCTCTCTCCTCACATTCTCTCCAGCGAATGAGATGCCGACGCCGGACACATTCGCGGCAGAGTAGCACTGGCAGGAGCAGCGGTGGATACATGGCCGTGGGTGGCGCGCGGCACAAGCAGGCAGATCGGGGCGCATCCAAGGACGCTATAAACCAGAAGGAAGAGGATGGTGAATACTAAATCTAAATCACAATTTTTTTTTAGAAATGTGGCAAAAGCTTTGCCGAGTTTTTATTAGACGGATAAAAAGAAAGAAAACAACGTTATTTACCGAAAAATTACGCGAAACAAAACAACTCAACAACTAAGGCACGAGAGGCGACTACTACGGCGCGCATACCGTCTACCACACCATTAAAAAGCCACGCTGCGAGCAAAAAGGGTAACACAATTCACAATTCACAATACCATAATCTACTAGAGTAACACAACATGGGAACAACATTTCTTTTGTCAGAAAACCGGCAGTGATAGGGTTCTTGAACCGGTAGTGATGACCTGTTCTAGGATAGTGGGTAGCCGAGTAGACGTGTCGGAGGTAGTATATATCTCAATATTTATTAGGGCACATATGCCCTGACAAAATGTATGTATACGGAGTATGTGATCATACTAAACTATATGGGATAGTATATATGTCAAGTATATAAGTATACACAGAGTATGCGGTTGTACTTATTTTATATACTACTATGATGATATTATAACAATATATACTAGAAAATATGAGCTCTTTTGAAATTTTTTCATTTAGTAAGATTTGGAGTATCCTAAAGTAAGTATATAAACGTCCTCAAACTGATAAATTAGTATACACCCATAAGCAAGATGGTTTATTAAAGATGGAAGTAGCTATACTGAGAGTAGAAAAAAATATATATACACACGTTCTCGATCGTAATCATTGCTGTGGGTTGGCACACTGTACGTAATAAATAATAACTGGAGGCCAGTGCAGGGCATCAGTTCATGAGGATGATGCCACTCAGTAGAGAGAACCCCCAAGCCCACACACAACGGCAGAGAAGCTCAGTTCTTCAGACCACTTTGAATAGGAGCTGAGGTGGAGGGGAACTCCAAGACATTGATATGGATTCATGGCTAATCCGCACGGCGGAGTTCTGGAACGAATGGGGGCTCCGGATCGCCGTCCTCTCCAGCCTTGCGTCGCACGTGGCCCTCGTCCTCCTCGCCAGCACCCGCCGGCGCAATGTATCCCTGTGGGGCTGGCTCCTCCTGTGGCCGGCGTACCAGATTGCCGACATATCCGCGACGTACGCGCTGGGCAACCTGTCCCTCGGCGGCACCGGCGCCGGCGCGTCGTCATCCGCCGGATCCTCGTGCGAGCAGCAGCTTGTCGCGTTCTGGGCGCCGTTCCTCCTGCTGCATCTGGGCCGCCCAGACAACATCAGCGCCTACGCCCTCGAGGACAACACGCTCTCCTTGCGGCAAGCGCTGGAGGTGGCCCTGCAGGTCGCTGGAGCCTCGTACGTCCTCTACAACTACATATACCTCGGCCACAGCGGGGCCTTGCTTCCAGCTTCCGCGATCATGTTCGCCGCCGGCGTCGCCAAGTACGTCGAGAGAGCGCTCGCCCTATGGAGGGGTAAGCTGGAACACATCCGGGGCTCGACCAAGAAGAAGAACAAGAAGAAGAAGCCGCAGCAGCAGTCAACCAAGCATGTGGTCCTACGTACTAGTACTGCAATGGGAAGGCGATGGCGGGAGCTTGACCTTGAAGAAGCCCTGCGGTTCGCTCACGACATGTTTCGCTTCTGCCAGCGTGCAATGGTCGACTCTTCCGTCGAGGTGGCGGCGGATCATACCAGCGGCAGCAGCAGCAGCGGGACGCATATCTTCTCCTTGGGGTGGAGGAGCATGTGCAAGGTGGTGGAGATGGAGCTCTCCCTCATGTACGACGTCCTCTACACCAAGGCGAGCGTCGTCCACACCTGGGGAGGCTACCTCATCCGAATCATCTCGCCGTTCGCCACCGCCACAGCCGCCACCTTCTTCTGGTTCCTTCCAAAGGACAATTGTCTCAGGGAAGCTGACGTCATCGTCAGCTACATGCTGCTGGGGACTGCCTTCCTACTTGATATGGTATGGCTAGTGAGGGCCCTAGGCTCCACCTGGGCATTCGCCTTCCTCGACGCCAGGCCAGGAGTTTGGCTTTACCATGCGCTCCTGTGCAGCGGAAGGTGGCATCGGCTTCGCCGCATCTTCGTGTCTCTGGATCCAAGCTCCTGGCTACTTGGCCAGGATCCGAGGACCTACAGGATGTGGTCTGGCAACATTGGGCGCTACAACTTGCTGGACGATTGCACTCGTCCTCGTGGGGCCATGGCAGGCCGTCTTTGCCGCTGGCTGGCGACCAAGGCCGGGTTGGAGGACTACTACTACTCGAGGTGCCTGTCTTATCAGCTTGGCAAAGATGTGAAGCAGCTGTTGTTCCAAAGGATACAAACAAGATTGCTATCGTCCTACCCAGCATCTACTACTCCAGCTGGCCCTAGGAATAATGGCGCCTACTCCATGAAGGACATCACCACAGCCTGGGGCCAAGAGGCGGTGAAGAGAGGTCGGCAGATTTTTGAAGCTGACCAGCTGCCGTTTTTCGGCCGAGAATTTCAGGAGGACATCCTCGTATGGCACATTGGCACCTGCATTCTCCTCGCGTGCGCCGATCAACAGCACGTCCAAGGAACATACGGGAAGGCAATTGAGGTGCTGTCGGAGTATCTCATGTTCCTCGTCGCTGTGCGCCGGCACATGCTGCCTGGTCTTGTGCTCCGCAGCCTGTTCGAGGTAACCGGTCAAGCTATGGCGGATGTATGGGCCGAGGAGGTGGTTCACGGCAACAAAAACAATCGATCCTATTCCTGCCTCAGATCAAGGAAGGAGATGCTTGCAAAGACCCTGCACGAGTTGAAGTTAATCAACGAAGATTGGGGTCTAAACAACGCCAACACACGTCTTATCTCGGATGGCATTGACCTTGCCACCGTGCTTATACAGGTTGAAGAAAATGACATGCCAAAGCTGATGGAGCTCGTCTTCGACGTCTGGATTGATAAGCTGCTCTATGCAGGCACTCGATGCAGCAGGGAATCCCACGCAAAGCAGCTGAGCCACGGTGCTGAACTCACAAGCATCGTGTGGATTATTACAGAGCACGCTGGGCCGTTCCGCATAGGAGAAACCATCGAAGGAAGTCCTTTTACTATGATAGAAGATCATGCTCCTCCTCCTCCTCCTCCTAAAGAAAAGCCTCCTCCTACTAAAGAAGAGTATCCTTATCTTCCTTATCCTTATCCTTATCCTGCTCCTCCTCCTCCTGACAAGAAAGAAGAGCCTACTCCTCCTCCTCCCGCTATGATGGAACCTGCCCCTCCCCCTCCACTTCCCCCTCCACCCATTGAGCCTATTGAGCCTACGAAGAGAAAGAGAAGGGTGAAATATGCTACATTGTATCCACCCTATTAATTGATGTCGTTCACATTAATTTGTGAAATTAAATAATAAAAATCTTCTAGTCTTCATTTATTTCGTGTATTAAATGTATGAGTACTATGCTGACTTTTATATATCTTATACAAAATTACTGGTTGGAGGCTATAATTAATAGATCGAGCATCGACGTTAATTCTCATAAAACATGCTAGAAAAAAAGATAATAATTATTAAAAGTTCTCACAAAAACCCGTAATACCTGCTAACGTAAGCCCATGTTTAGTTTCAAAAACTTTTCCTAAAAAGTGCTACAGTATCCATCACATCGAATCTTACGATACGTGCATGGAGCATTAAATGTAGACGAAAAAAACTAATTACACAGTTTGGTTCACTACTACAGAATGGACTTGTTGTCCCGGGCGGTAACGGCCTTTAGTCCCGGTTACCGCGCCGGGACAACGGTCCCGGGACTAAAGGTGCCACCTTTAGTCCCGGGTCATCGAGCCGGGACTAAAGAGGGACCTTTAGTCCCGGTTGGTGTTACCAACCCGGACTAAAGGCCCTCCAGTCGAGCAAACGTGGCCGCACCCTTTAGTCCCGGTTGGTAACCCCAACCGGGATTAAATGTTCCTTTTCTTTTTCTTTTTTTTTTTGTTTAATTTGTTTTCACTTCAGTTACACGTATTTGTTTAATATATAATATGTTTTTATGTACGTATTCTACGCTGGTAATATAAATACACATACGCATATAATTACATCTAATTCTCATCTCGAGCATTATTATATTCGAATAAAGTATGAACCTATATATATTATAGATATATATATATGTATATATACAACACTTTCATAATCTTGTTCTCGAAAATAACGATATCAATAAATATTTAATTTACACCATTTATTCCTTAGGATCAAAGTAGAACTCGCCGTTGGGATTTAGCATTTTTTCTAAAAGAAATCCTGCTATTGACTCTTAAACTGCTTTCAGATGGTCTTTTTGCATGACCCTTCGTTTCAACCATTCGGTCTTGCATTTGAAATAAAAGAAAAAGTATTAATACATATATATATATATATATTCATTTAAAAATAAATAAAAAATTGATATATACGTACTCTGAGGACATCTTTAGGAGTTCTTCTTATGTGCAAAGTGATAAATTCACAAACGTAGTATCCACACAAGTTATTACCTGGTTGCTGCCGTAAACACCACTGTACGAGAAGAAGATTTTTCTCATCATCTCACACGTAAATTGAAGTACGATATAGTAATTAAACACGTGGGGAAGTGTATATAGTACAACTTACTTGTATTTCAACTACATTAAGTGGTGCCTTGCAATCCTTGCGATGTTGCCGAATAAACTCTTTCCAAACCCTGTGCGACCAATAATGTACGATCGTTAATAAATTATGGCAAAGTCTATTCAATAATAGTTGTGCGCGAGAGATCGAAATTACCCCTGAATAATGTCTATCATATCTTGGTATAGTGCCCGCTCTTTTCTCAACGAGTCAAAGATTACTAACCGACTTGAGTTTAACTTAATGACAATGAGTATCCAGTGAAAACTGCATTGGTTTATACACACACATACATGCATATAAGTTGTATTGATATTACATAAAATGTGTAGACTACATTATTATTAACACTTACTCAAAGTTGTACGGGAAAAGTATTGTTGTCTTGTCGTGCTGCTTCACGAAGAACATCATGATATTCTCCTGTGCTTCAGATACCCACCGCTCCTTGATAATAATACCGGTTTTGAATACGATATAAGGATCAATGAAGCCAACACTTGTGTCTTATATTCTTTGGAGCTCTAACATCTGGAATCTGTATATAAATATAAGTTACATGTGAGGATAATTATATACACGTACGCATGGAAGTGAGTTTATTAAATAAAAGTAAGAATCACTTACAAACAAAAGGAGCTAATGATTGATTTGTCCAGAGCGTCCAAGTGGTATAGTTGATGCAATTCTTCGAAACTAATATGTAAGATGTCATCACCATGGAAGTAATGATGGTCTCTAAATCTGACAAAGATCCACTGCTCACCCCTGCCACACGCCTGTATGTACCACTTGTTGAGCAAGTACATTTGTGTACCCAATTCATTCAGAGCCACAAGGTTGTACAGGCTTTTGCCATATTTATAAGTCGTCCAGGTATCAACTTCTAGGTTCTGGATTGGAGCTTTGCCCGTCAATTGATCCAAGGTTAAACCAGTATCTTCAAAAAAAGCATTAAGGGCTTGAACCGACACTTCTCCAGAGTTGTCTGGTCGATAGACTTCTATGTTGGAACCATATTCATTAGCAACAACAAGATTTTGCATTGGTTGCTTCTGTTGTCCGAGCTGTGGGACATCCTTCCCTGATGCTCTTTTCCTTTTCTTATCTTGCATCATGTGGATTCACGAGGGAGCGGTCATAGTCGATAGTGGCGAAGGCTTACGAAGTTCAATCATCTTTTTCTTGTGAGCATCGACCTTCCGCCTCCAAGACATCTCGTGGTATGTAAAAGTACGGCTTCTCCTTAAGCTTCGCTTGACTCTTGTTTTTTATATCTATAAAAAAATCTTTCACTTTTTTGTCTTCTTCAGTTGCTATTTGCTCATCAGTCTTTTCAGGAAGTATTTCTTGAGAAATAACTCTTTTTCTCGAGGTCTTCTTTGTCACGGGACCTTAGACGTCTTTTGAAGTGCGCCAATGTAGAGGGGTGGGGGCGGTGTTGGAGACCGGCGTGGAGGCGATGAGGCCGGTGTTGGTGGAGACCGGCGTGGAGGTGTTGGAGATCGCCAGGAGGCGGTGGGGCCAGTGTAGGAGTTGGAGATCGTTAGGAGGCGATGGGGCGGTGTAGGAGTTGGCGATCGACATGGGGATGAAGTCGTCTCGCCCCATGACGCTGTGATGAGATGGGGAATGAATGATTAGGCTAGGGGAGAGACCTGCTACAAAAAAAACAAGTTGTGTGTCAATTATTTTTGAAGCCAATAGAAAATTAATGGAAAATAATATTTCATTCACTTTCATTCGTACCTAGGGTGAGGTAGGGAAGCGGTGGCGCCCAGAATGATGATGAAGCGTTTGCGCCATTGAATAAATGTCTTCTCCGCTTCTCCTAGTGTCTTCTCCCCATCACCGCCTTCAATGTCAATAGGAACATTGCTGTAACCTTTGAGCACTCTATCGACCGAGACGCTAGCATATCCAGGTTGAATAACTGACCCATGGATTCTTGGTGTCTTCGTTCGGTATATTGGAGATACAACCCCGATAGCCACCATGATTGATGCGTTATTATCATCTGGAATGTGCAGCTCACATGTTGTTAGAGGCTCGGTAATGTCATCAACAGGGAAGCGCAACCCAGTGTCGTCTTGAATAACTGGCAGCTCCGTAGAAGCACAACTGCTTTTCATCTGACCAACGGGGCTAATGGTGACTCCCGGTGTTGATTGTGATTGCATTTGACTCATTGCTAGCTGCACTTGCCTCTTGATCTCCTCCTGCATTCTTGCCTCAAGAGATTTTTCTCATTCACGTGATTCAAGCAATGCTTGTCGTGACTCATCAACAAATTGCTCAAATGCATGAATTCGTTCTGCCTCCTCATCCTTCTTTCTCTGGCGGCTTCTGTAGGTATCCTTGTCTGCTGGGAATGCGTGTATCCAAGGAACCGTCCCATAGCCTCTTGTTCGACCACCGTGTTCGGGATTCTCTAGGGCATATGTCAATTCATCCTTCTCTCCGTTGAGCTTGAAAACACCACTATCAGCTTCTTCCTTAGCACGAGCTAGTCTCTGTGTTGCTCTCTTAATTTTTTGGCCGAAAATTAGCTTGCCAGTGTCTGGGTCTAGGCTTCCCCCACCAGCGTAGAACCAATTCTTCGCGCGTTGAGGCCAGTTCTTTTCTATTGTTTCAGGTATGATTCCCTTGTCAGTAATTTCTGCTTCTAGGTTCTGCCACTTGGGAATAGCACTCCTATAACCACCTGATCCCATGCGATGATGGTATTGCTTCTGTCGGACATTCTGCCGATTCCTCATCACATGTTCCTCACTGTCTTGAGATGTCTTGTATTCTACGAAGGCATCCCAATGGGACTCCAACTTGACAAACGCCTTAGCATTGAAATCCGGCATAGCATTCTTCAAGATAAACTTTTTATACAATGTCTTCTTCCAACTCTGGAACAATGTTGACATCTTCTTCATTGTCCAATCCCTCACTAGCTCCTTCAAAGCATCATCTGCTTGTAATATGAAATGCTGAGTGATATCTCTCCAAGCTAGGTTCTTGTCACGATCAGATACAAAACTAACATTAGGAGCAGATATCTTCTGCTTCTATTCACGAGCACTAACTGGGATCCTATCCCTTACAATGAACCCACATTGATTGATATATGTCTGAGCATGTGGTCCCAATGGTTTGCCAGTGTCGGTGTCGAATTCTGATATTATGAAACGGCCCTCTAATGGCTTTTTTGGCTCTCGGACTTTCCTACTTTTGTCGGTGGTTGATGTAGATCCAGAGATCGGCTACATGAGTAGAAACACAATGATTAACAACAAATATACGTACGCATGCATCTATAAGAGATGATAGATAATCGAATATACCTCGCCAGTATTTTCTTGCGCGATAATTTGTTGATCTTCAACCACCGGCATATTCAGGATATCCTCATAATCAGCAAAGTACTGACTCATGTCATCTACATCCACATTGGTGCCGGCGTTGATAATATCCGTCATTATGTCATCATCCGGAGCAGCCATTTGTATCTTCAAGATAACACATAGATAGAATTACTATGGTACATAACATAAGTACATGTGATAACACATATGGAATTACTAAATCCAATTAAATATAATAACACATAATATTTCATAAGGATAAACAATAATAAGGTATAGGCTTTGGAATCGAATCAAAAACACTTTCGATCCAAAAACATAGAAATAAGTACATGTATATATATACACATAGAATGATAC